GCCATCACTGTCTGCCCCTGCCCTTGGGTTGGCAAGTGCCCTCTGATGGGCACTGTAGGGCCACCTTGCTTTTGTGCATCTGCTGTGGGTATGGTGGCCAGGGAGCGTCTGACTACAAATTTTCACTCTTGTTATCCTTCAAAGACTAGGCTAATCTTCTGTCTTGATTTGCAAATTATATCACAGCAGTTAGATTGTTGATTCCCTCAAGCAAAAACTGTGCTGATGGGAGAGGCAACCCCTCCCCTCTGATTCCCTTTCTCTCTGCCCTTTCTTAAATGGCCAAATTAAAGAACTATGGGGAAGTGTGGTGCTGAAAAGAATAGGGAGTAATATGAGAACAGTGGTACAGCTTCCTCCTCTATGATATGGAGATAATCACAGAGCTGTCATACATCAGTTGTTCTCAGCCCTGGATGCACATCAGATCCACCAGTGGGTTTAAATATCCCCATCTCTAGGCTGCAGCCCAGATGCAGGAGATCGGAATCTCTGGGGGTGAGACCTAGCACAGATCGTTTTAAAATTCCCCCATGCGAATCCAGTGTGCAGCCAGGGTTGAGAACCACTGTTCTAGGATTAAAAGAGTTGGCTTATTGCTTGAAACAGAGACATTCCCACATCTGGATGCCCACTGAAATCAATTGGTCGAAGGTGGGGGAGGTTTCAAAATTAAACTCATTTTCTGGCTATACATTCCAGACCATTTGAATTAGTGGCTTATGTCTCTGGGCACCTCTTGTTCAGCCTTCACAGGAGCCACTTATCAGCTACTTACAAATACCGGGGCTGCCAAAAAATGTATACACATTTGAAGATGTTATCTTTGTATTACTTTTCGAAGTTAGATTGAATTTACGGTAGCAATGTGTGGTGTGACGTTCGCTCGAAAGATGGCGTTAAGCAAATGAACGCTAGAGACACCACACGACAGGCAGGATAGTCAACGAAAGTGGTGGAAGCACGGTTGTCGTTCCGTTCAAGGAGTGCAATTCTGAAGTGGTTTTTGAAATTTGAGAACGTTGTGGAAGTACAATGACAATGGAGGCATTCGTATGCCACAGAACCTCCAATATGCCTAACGATGCTACACATTCATGATAAATTTGAGACGCATGGTCTTGTGTATGATGTGTGCAAGGGAAGATCCAGGAGGCCTCGCACAGCAACAAGTCCTGCAGTCGTTCGCCATTGTCATGAGTGTCTGGACGCTGATGGTAACCACTTTGAACACCTTTTGTAAATGCGGAAGTCAAACGTGACTTGTAATCATCTTTTGCTATTGGTATATATATTAACAATTTTAATAGCTTTTTTCTTCTTGAAATGTGTATACATTTTTTTGGTACCCTCTATATTTCCAGCATTGTAGCAGGGAATCCTGCTGATTCTTCACAGCCTTGTAGCAGGAAATCCTGATTCTCATTTTACAGATGAGGAAACTGTTGCTTAGAAGAGATATTGACTTGCCCCAGGTGATAGCCTGAGTCCCTGAGGCCAGTCTTTTCTGACCTTGAAGCCTGGGGCCTCGGCCTCGTGGAGGGTGTTCTCCACTCTTCTGGAAACATCCCAAGTAGAGGGGGAGACCAGCCAGAGGTGTTGGTGCTCCAAAGGCTCCCTGCCCCTCCTGGGTGAAGAGAGGCGAGATGAGCAGTTGCCTGGTATTCGGCTCTTAGTCACCCACTCTCAAAATATCTCCTTCTGGGGAGGAGGGAGATGCCTGCACGTTAGCCTGCCCCAGTCACCTCTCACAGCACAGCTGTCTCACCCAGAGAAAACTCAGGCAGGAAAAGCAAACACTCATTTGCTTTTTGAGAGTTTGAGGAATTTCTCAGGCATGTGATATAGAAAAAAATGCCTCTATTTCCCTCATTAGACAAAGAGGAAGCAAGGTCAAGGTGACCTGAAATGTTTAGCTTTACCTTTCAAAGTCCCTTCTTAAGTCCTAATGCTGTTGACACAGTCCAAGGCTGGGAACTGCGGGACGTGAAAGCCAGGCCAAACCCTGCACTGCCACCTGTGTGTTCTCCAAGCCTAAGCACATCGTTTACAACCCTCAGCTTTTGCTTTCCCCATCAGCCAAGTAAGAACTCAGGGCGGCTGTGAAAAGGTCATGGGGACTCTGCAATGCCAGGCCCTGCCAGTGGCCCCTTGAGGTGTTGGAGGGAGAGGAGAGGAGTGTGTCTGCCCTGATACTGAGACTCACAGCTGTCTGGACCTGGAAGCTTGGTCAAGTGTCTGTTGGCACCCTCTAAGGACTCAATGTCCCCGAGGCCCAAAGTGACCATCTGTGTTAGAGATTGCACTGAATGTGTTCCCTCTGGTTTCAGGAGGCCTGGCTTCATTTCACCTGCACTAGCCCCTAGTGTATGGACAGCTCAGAGCCAATATTTGGAGCCCAAGTAGCTGACACTTTAGAGTTCGTGGGCAATGGAATATAAATTTGGCTCCACAAAGCCTTCCCTGCCAACCCAGCCCCCAGGGACTTCTGTCTGTACTCCTTATCTGTGCCTTCCGGTCCCTACCCCTTACTGCCTAGCACAGAACCTAGCATAGAGCAGATGCCTAGTGTTGAGTGAATGGAGGATGAGGGGAGGGAGAGATCCATGAATCTGTGTTTAGTGATATCTCTAAGGCGGTTGCCATAGGATACTATGTAAGTGTTGGGCTATCTAGTCCTGGCTTGCTCAACTTCATGTGTTTGTTGTTATTGCTACTCAGGTTATTTTGAAGACTCTCACTGAGGATTGTTCTCATAATGGGGTTATTCATTTGCAATGTTATTTTCTGAGGTTGGGGCGAATATCCAGGGATGTGGATGCCAGGTCAAGCCCTGAGCTGCCACCTGTGTGCTCTCTAAGCCTAAGTGCATAATTTACAACTCCTAGCCTTTGCTTTCCCCATCGGCCAAGTAGGAACTCAGAGCAGCTGTGAAAAGGTCATGGGGACTCTGAAATGCCAAGCCCTGCGTTGGCATTGTGGATAGCTTTTATCCCAGAGCCACTAAGAGTACATCCCAAGTCTGGAGTCTGGTGATCCCTTATTAAGCCACTAAACTGAACCATAAAGCTGAGTTACCCAAGCAGTGGGGTCTTTAGGGGGCGTGAAAACATGAGGCAATGGCAGAAACTGGAAGTAGGGGAAGGGGAGGATCTCCAGGTGGGATGGCCACCAGGAGGTCTCCAGGGATTTAGATCTGCTTCTGCTGAACTGAGATGGAAAAGCCTAAGGTTGTTGCCCTTCCATGTGGGATGGGCTGCCCTGGGAGCACACAGGGAAGCTGGTGCAGGGCTGCCTGCTGCTCTGGCATGGACGTCATTTCATGGTTACTGTCCCTGTCCCTGGAGTAAAGAGTTTCCGGTCCAGCTCTGGGTGCTGACACCCCCAGGGAACTAAGCATGGTCTGGATCCCTGTAACTATCTCAAAGGTTTTGTGGACAGCTGGTTGGGTGTCAGACTTAATGGCTTTGCCATTACTCTGTGATGACCTCAGACGAGTTACTTGACCTCTCCTTGTGCCTCAGTTTCCTACCTCTACAACTCTGTGTTCATGCCATGCCCTCTCACTGTGATAATTAACCTTGTTAGTCTGCCTCTCCCCACCACCCCGCCCCCACCCAAGCCAGGATCTTCCCTGAAAGGTGGTACCTATAGAAAACTAGAATAAACTTAGTTTAGTGTAGTCTTTTTGCCTTAACATAGCCATTTTTGCTTAGACTTTGCCCCAGACACACTTTGAATCTAGTACAGGTTAGACATAGATAAAATAAATTTCCAGCAGGCAGGTTTTAGGAAGCATTCAGACATTCTGCTGCAGGCCAAGCTGGCAGCCTGCCCCACCCCCTCGGCAAATCTCCATCAGATGCTAGAAAAGGACAGAGCTGTAGAAATGATAATAGACTACCTTTTTCTGGGGTGGGGGTGGGGTGGGGGGGTGGAGTGCAGCATCATGCTCATGTCCACCAAAGTCTCTACCTGCTGTAAACTTTTAGGTTTCTTGTCAAGGCTGAAGATCAAAGATCACCCTTTGGCTGGCTGGTCATAAAAGTGTTAATATGACCACCTTTGGTCAAGGAATTTGTGAATTGCATATGTCTAACAAGTCTCTTGCAGGAAAAAACTCCTCTGGGCCTAAACCCCCCAAGTTAACCTAATCAGCCCTTTGTGACCTACGTGACACAGATAAACCCCACCATGACTGCAATCATGTGACTAACCCACCCATCTGCCTGTTGTCCATCACTTGACATCAGTAACTGCATTTTCCCGTCCCTTCGTGAAGATGTGGAGCAGATCACTACCCGATCACCTTAATGACCTTCCCCCATCAGAGGGAAGGGTTAAAAGCATTCAACCCTGTGCAACTGGGCGCCATTGCCAGTCCATTGCCTTGCTAAGCTATGGTGTGGCCATGTGCTCTTTGAGCTATGACTAGGCCATGTTTTCTTAAACTTCAGCCCCCTCCCCTACCTTGGGGAGGTGAATCTCCTCTTTCTCTCTCTCTCATTTGCTTTCTAGATAAACTATATTTTCTAATCTAACTTCTGTGCAATTCTTTGCATCTTTCATGTGACATTGGATTGCACACCAGAAACCCACACTCCCAGCGGACCTGACCTAACATTCTGGAGGCCTGCTGAGAGTGTTACCCTAACACCCACCAACCCAGTCTGCTTGCGGACATTGTGACTTCATTGGGTTCTGGCTGAGGGTTTGCAATAATAAGACTGTGTCATCCTGATCAATAACCCTTCAAGGGTCTCAGTAGTCACCTCTGTACCCTGGGAGTAACAATACTATCATTCATTCCTAGTAAGAGGTAAAAAATTCATAGGAACAGAAGGAAAGCCCTGTACTCGCCCTGTCTCAGTCATGCATTGTCAGCAAGGTGGGGGTGCTGGCCAGGGGCATCATTTGTCCCATGCCTGCAGAATAACTGAATTAGTGTGTCCTGGTAGCTAACAGCAGAGTCCTTATCCCATGGGTCTGTGTTGCTGCAGCGGCCAGTTTGCCATTGTGAAGAAGTGTCGAGAAAAGAGCACGGGGCTGGAGTATGCGGCCAAGTTCATCAAGAAGCGCCAGAACCGGGCTAGCCGGCGGGGCGTGAGCCGGGAGGAGATCGAGCGGGAGGTGAGCATCCTGCGGCAGGTGCTGCACCCCAACATCATCACGCTGCACGACGTCTACGAGAACCGCACCGACGTGGTGCTCATCCTTGAGCTGTGAGTGAGGGGCCCAGGAGGACCCACGGGGGGCGGCAATGGCAGGCAAGGCATTAGAAACTCCAGCCACAGGCCTCAGTGGTAGCAGCCACAAGATCTAAGCTCTGCCTGGAGGAGATGAAGGCAGTGGCGGGCAGTTTCCCTCTGTCTCAGTTACCTCCATCCTCCTGAAATTGAGACAAAGGAGGGATGTTTTTGCTGAATAGCAGGGGCAGAGGGTGATCCCTAGGTATCAAAGGGAAGAAATGACTGCCCTGGGGTCATACCCTGGCTGGTGGGGCCTGTGGGAGGGAAGGAGGGGGCAGAAAGTAGGGAGGAGGACAGGGGAGGCTGTCAGGGAGAAAGCTGATCTATGAGGCAGAAAAGCACACACATCCTCTGGGCTCTGTGAAGCGCTTCTCCAACTCCTTCCTGGGAAAAATCCACTGCATTTGTGCTGTGTTTGACACCTTTATTATAATGATGGCTATTATTTAGAGAGCTCTACATTAGGCAGGCATTTTCTAGGTGCCTGCTATTTGTTACCTTGTTCAGTCTTTTTTTTTTGAGTCGGAGTCTAACTCTGCCACACAGACTGGAGTACAATGGCATGCTCATGGTCACTGCAGCCTCAGTCTGCAGGACTCAGGTGAGCCTTCCTTCTCAGCCTTCCTTCCAAGTAGCTGGAACTACCGGCACACACCACCACATCCAGCTGATTTTTTTATTTATTGTAGAGACGAGGTCTTGCCAAGTTGCCCAGGCTGGTCTCAAACTCCTGGGACTCAGGCAATCCTCTCGCCTCGGCCTCCCAAAGTGCTGGGATGACAGGCATGAGCCACCGTGTCCGGTCTTGTTCAGTCTTTACAAGGACTATGATGAGGAGAATGTCTTACCAATACAGAGGATTTATTAGTGTTCACTGTACTGAGTATTTCTGCTACCTTCATGTATTAAGGCAATAGAGGATTAAAATCCTTGTCACAATGCTAGCACTTAGAGACTTGTATTATCCCCATTTTATAGACAGGAACACTGAGAGGCCAGGTCACTTGCAGGATGCCATATCCAGGAAGTGGTGGGGCCATAACTTGAGTCCACACAGCTTGTACAGAGAGCTAGAAGTGTGAGGCAATGCTAGCCTACCTGGGGAAGACTTCACAGTGCTTAGTGGAACCTGGAGAGGTGTCAGGGAGGACTAAGACTCCAGGAGCTGGCTGGCCACCATGGTGTCCTCCCAGAGGTGTCTATATACAACAGGTAAGTGGGACTGTGGCAGACAGTAGAGTTTGAGTTGGGCTGTGGCACAAGTCACAGTCGCTATGTCCAGTCAAGAAGCAGAGCCCTGCATTAAGAATGTTTTGAGCCTTATAAGCATGTATACATCTGCTGGTTAGCAGGGGAATGGTAGCATCTGTCTCAGTAATCCCTGACTTTATGCACTTGGATAAATCATCTCAACCCTTTGAGCTTGAGATCTCATCTGTAAACCAGACAGCCATCCTTATCTTGTCTGCAGATCGGGTGGGCCACCTGACCTTTGAGATCATTCTAATTTGAGAACTGTGCTCTGGTATTGGCAGGCTATAGATTTAAGTAGCAGATGGGCATTTGCATACTCTTGCATTTGATTCTTAAGTTACCCACCGCAATGTTTAAGTGCATAGAATTGCCTATGCGCTCTCCTTCTCCAGCTCCCAGTGCCCTCTATGTTCCTCCCATGGACCTCTTGACCAGTTGGACTAGTTGCTGCCTGCACCTGCCTGACTCTCATACAAGCCTGGTGGGGTTCCCCAAGTGTGGCCAGCCATACATGTGGAAAGCTCGAGGTGTGACATGCTCTAGGGCTAAGGGTCAACAATTGGCATCCTGATTCCCAGCAGAGAGTAACAAGTACCTTGCTGGGAAGGCCAGGCCACTTCTTTAAAAGTCTATTATAAAATAAACTTAAATAGGAACTGAAAAGACAGAACATTAATAACCCTGCAAACTAACACAGCTATTTATGTTTCTCTGTGATTACTCTCAAGCTTTTTCTCTTTGTATACATTGTCCTAGTATTGCTTCCTGCCTAACTTCTTTCTCTAGTTAATCTAATTCCAAAAATTGCCTTGTCTCTTTTAACTGACTGCCATGTTTTATTGAATTGCATACAGTATTTTCTTTGTCTCAGTCTATTTCCTGTTGCTTCTAACAGAATACTTGAAACTAGTCATTTATAAAGAGAAGGAATTTATTTTTATTTTTTGAGTTGGAGTCTCATTCTGTCACCCAGGCTGGAATGCAGTGGCATGCTCACAGCCACCACGGCCTCGACCTGCTGGGCTCAGGTGATCCTTCCGCCTCAGCCTTCCAAGTAGCTGGAATCACAGGCATACGCCACCATGGCCTGGCTGACTTTTTTTATTTATTATAGAGATGAGGTCTTGCCATGTTGATCAGGCTGTTCTCAAACCTCTGAGCTCAGGTAATCCTCTTGCCTCTGCCTCCCAAAGTGCTAGGATTACAGGCGTGAGCCACCACACCCGGCTGGAATTGATTTCTTGTATTTACTTCTTAAATTCTCCATCTCAACATTGAAATGCATATGATTGCCCATGCCCTCCCCTTCTCCAGCTCCCAGTGTCCTGCATGTTTCTCCCATGGATCTCTTGGCCAGTTGGACTAGTTGCTGCCTGTACCTGCCTGACCCTCACACAAGACTGGTGGGAAGGTTGAGAAGTCCAAGATGGAGGAACCGCTTCTGCAGAGTGCCTAGGTGGTGCAGGGCATCACACGGCAAGGGGGTTGAGCATGCTAGCTCAGGTCTCTCTTCTTCATTTTTCTTAGCCAGTCCCACTCCCATGATAAGACATGAATCCATTAACTCACGAATGGATTCATCCATCCATGAGGGTAGAGCCCTTATGACCCAGTCACCCCTTAAAGGCCCCACCTCTCAACACTGCCACATTGAGGATTAAGTCTCAACGTAAGTTACAGAGGGGATAAACATTCAAGCCATAGTTCTCCTGTTGTTGGACACTGGGTTTTTATTCCCCAGCTTTTGACCATTACTAATTTTACTAATAGAACAACTTTCTTCCTATGACTTTCCCCTTTTCTTTTGAATTAATTCTTTCATTTTCTCCCCCAGGATTGAGCTCAGAGCCACAGGAGTGGTATGACTAGATCAAAGACTGACATTTTTAGAACTATTGGCTTCCTCACTTTCTTTTTTTTGAGTTGGAATCTCACTCTGTCGCCCAGACTGGAGTGCAGTGGCCACTCCCGGCCACCGCAGCCTCGATCCGGCGATCCTTCTGCCTCAGCCTTCTGAGTAGCCGGAATTACAGGCGCGCGCTACCACGCCCAGCTAATTTTTTGATTTATGGTAGAGATGAGGTCTTGCTGCCCAGGCGGGTCTCGAACCGCGGGCTCAGGCAATCCACTCACCTCAGCCTCCCAAAGGCGCGGGATTACAGGCTGAGTCACCGAGCCCGGCAGCTTCCTCACTTTCAAAGGATGGTATTGGTTAACCGGTACCACCACAACATAGGAGCGTTCTTATTTGCCGGTGTGGTCCTGCCAGCCCTGGGCTATTTGTTTTAAAACATGTTTCATTATTTATTGACCTTTATAGTTGTATAGTGATACTTTGCTGTCATTTTAATTGGCATTTCTTTAATTGTTGGGAGAAATTGCCTGCTTCTTCGTACATGTAGAACCCCAGGCATTGGACTATGGGATACTTATTTTTGGAGAAACGAGGTCTCACTATGTTGCCCAGGCCAGTCTTGAACTCCTGGGCTCAAGCATTCCTCCCACCTCGGCCTTCCAAAGTGCTGGGTTTATAGGCGTGAGCCACTGCGCCCGGGCTTGAGATGTCGCTATTTCTCCCAGCAGGGCTCACAGCCAGGCAATAGTTTCATGCCCTCTCCTTCTTCTTTTTGTTTTTTTTTTTTTTGAGTTGGAGTCTCACTCTGTTGCCCAGACTGGAGTGCAGTGGCCATTCCTGGCCACCGCAGCCTCGACCTGCTGGGCTCCAGCGATCCTTCCGCCTCAGCCTTCCAAGTAGCTGGAACTACAGGCGCGTGCTACCACACCCGGCTGATTTTTGATTTCTTGTAGAGATGAGGTCTCGCTGCCCAGGCGGGTCTCGAACCCGCGGGCTCAGGCAATCCACTCACCTCAGCCTCCCAAAGGCGCGGGATTACAAGCTGAGCCACCGAGCCCGGCTCATGCCCTCTTCTTGTGAACTCAGGTGCATCATCCATAACATCAGCTGTCACGCTGTGCTCTGTTTCTTGCTTGGGCCACTGTGCTTGTTGAGTTCTCTCTGCTCATGGTTTCCGTGCCCTCTTTCACTTGTAGTCTGTCTCATTGCTCTCAGGGTGCTGTCTATGGAGTGCTGAGGAATTATGAGAGTAAAAAACCCAAACTTGCTAAGACTATGCCTAAACCATGTGTGACTGGGGTTTGAGAGGAAGGACCTCCCCTAGGAGAGGAGTTTATGGGCTTTTGGGCTTAGATTTGATGCCTCCTGTTGGCCTGATCAGGAGTCTTGGGTTCCCTGGTCTTCATTGTACCCTAATAGGTTAGTGTAGCAGTCCCCAGTCTTTTTTGGCATTAGGGAATGGTTCCGTGGAAGAAAAGTTTTCCACGGCCTGGGGGTTTGGGAGAATCCTCAGGCTTTTGATTCTCATAAGGAAACACAATCCAGGTCCCTCGCATGTGTAATTCACAGCAGGGTCTCGCTCCTATGAGATTTTAATGCTGCCACTGATCTGACAGGAGACAGCACTCCATTCATCTGCCCCTCGTCTCCTGCTGTGGAGTACCAGTTTGTGACCTGGGGGTTGGGGACCCCTGGTTAGTGGATTTGTCCTGTCCATCCACTCAGTTGAAACCTGCTTGGTTGCAGGCTTTGTGTGAGTCTGCCCTGATTCCACTGCCCATCTCAGCAGCCGTTGTCTGGGACAGGGCTCCCTCTTGCTTTCTGCTAATATGGCCAGTACTAAAAGCACATGCCCAGCCTGATA